CACCTGAGACGAGTCTCCGAGGTGATAAACACCTAAACCTGAAGCGTAGGCAGATGGTGTTTTTTCAACAGACAGCCCACGAATGATCCGTAATCTGACTCTTGAGCCGAGTCGTTCAAGTTAAATACGGGTTAGGGACTTCTGGCAGACAGCGAAGCTTCCTCATTATTTTGTTCTTTTACTAATCATTAATGATGGCAGCTCTCTAATGAGCCAGTCAGACTTAAATCCAGGAGAAACTCTCCTTACGAGGAAGGTTAATGTGGAGTCGGTCCAGCTATTTTGAGATGAGAGGCTCGTTTGCAGAAAATGACTTTCAGAAAGATGAATGGCTATTAAAATATAAATAAAACAGGAGTCTTTAATAATTGAAATGAGAAAAGTTTCTATGAATTGAATCATAGTAATTTAATGACCTTTTTATGGGTTGTTAAAAAAAGAACAGTTATTAAAATCACTAGTTTGTCAACAGTAAACATTAGTTAATGCTGCTGAATTAGGTTATAATAACAAAATGAGTTAATATTATTATAAATAATTACGATAATTCATAGTTTTATGTGTAGAAACGTTATCTTTTATATAGAAGTAAACACAAACTTGTATTAAGACGAGTGAGTGAGGAAGCATTAGAGAGAAACTTTGTTTAAATATTATCTCCAGCTGTTATAAATGTGTGAATGTCAACGTCTACACATTCAATTTTCATATTTAATAAAATGCAGAAGATGCAGAAGTATGAAGTTAACTTTTAAATAGTGCTCTGTTTGCCGGCTAACTAACTTTAATTCAAAGTGTTATACAGTTTTCCTCTCTTTATCTCAGTTCTCCTTTCACTCCCTCAGTTCGTTGCAGATAATTCTAAAATAATTATACGTATGACATTTTTTTAAACTTGAGATAAACACATTTGCGAATGATCGCTGGTAGCTTTGTTTACCTCGACGAGATCGTACACGGCATATTATTGGCTAATACTATGCGTACTCGGTGTTCTGTTGGCTGACTGAGCATGCTCTTCTGTTCCTCGTGCTGACTGGTTCACACATCGTATCATCTCTCAGCATCTCCCCTTGTCTGTCCGACACTCTCTCGCTCCACGTTGCCATTTTACAACTCTGCTGTGCATATGATTGTGCGGGAAAGGGTAATACAGTCTTATGGAAGCTTTGGTGGGACCACTGTTCTTGGTTAAAAAAGTTATCGCATGAGCTCAAGACTATACCTTAGTTCTAGTCTTGAGCTCATATGATGGTGGCTAAACATGGTCTGCTCACAAAGAGCTCACTCACACTGTATTATGCATAAAGGTAAGCTACAGACGTCTTTAGGTTTGGTTTTAGGGTTTCTTTCCCATCCTTAACTGTGACCATAAATTCAATAACTGACTTTAGGGATTTCTGGGAAACACTACTAAATATTCAAAATCCTAAAAAAATGAATCTCTTTTATCGCAGTTTCGCGCAGCGGCAGCAAACCAGAGTTTGGCAAAGATCAGATTGCAACTCACCAGGCAGTGGATGTGTTGTAGGGCAGGAGTGTGGGGCTGTGGCTCTCCTCTCTGAGGCTGTGTCGGGGCTGATAGTGGCTGGAGACCATGGGTTGGACCTGGGCCTGGGCTTCACTTTCCTCTGCCATGGATTGGTGCCACTGACTCCGAGCTTTCTTCAGCCAGCGTCCTCCGAGACCCCACTTCTCCAGGTAGACCCGACACAACTCATAGTTTATGGCTGAGTAGTAGAGAAAGTCCAGCGCCAGCAGCACCATGACAAAGAAGCCGTAGATCCACACACCAACCAGAGCTGTGTAATTACTGCAGACAGACAGACAGACAGACAGACGGACAGACAGACGGACGCCACTTTTGAAGTGTAATCTGGGAAATGAAACGACTAACACTCCTCAGTCCGTGTAAGCCACCAGCCAGACACCTTAAAGCTTCAACCTCGACTCTCAGCAGCCAAGATGGAGCTGGCAGCTGTGAATGTTTGCTGTTCGTGTGGCAGGAACAAACATTTACCATTTACTGGTATGGCCTAATAATTACATAAACTCACTTGACTTGACGGTACGTGTCACACTTGAAGTCTGTCTTCCAAAAAATCAGAGATCAAAAAGCACAAGCAGTCAGAGCCTTCTGACACCAGGTTAAAATGCCATGACTAGACGCAGTGCAGTTCGAAAAATATGGCTTTTGGTGCATTAGAAAAAAAAGATGTTTTTTTTTCTCTGTGATTTTTTCTTCTTTTTTTTTTAGATGAATGTTCTGTTAAAAGCTTTACTCAGATCTGGTCAAAGGTCGTTTAACATGTGACTTCATTGCACTGTCAAAACGTGCAATTTAGTGTCAGACACACTAGTACTGTGAAGTGCATTTAATTTTCTTTTCGTGACTTCACACCATAGCTGTGTTTTACATCTGCTCATTTCTGTTTTTTTTTTCACTTTTGAACGTACAAACCATTCCTGAGAAAATACTCCATTAAATATGCAAACATGTGTGAATTAGCCTGATAAAGGTGAGAAAGTGTTATATAGAACACTTATCATTAAATATGCTGCACATGTTGCACCTTGGTAACAAAAGCCTGAAGCTCCTCCCACTTCCTTTAGAGGGCAGTAACAAACAGTAGTCAATCTCCACGCACATCATTTAAATGTAGTTTCTTTTTCGCAGCGATAATCACACTTAAACATTAAAAAAATTTTTTTACATGTTTCTATGACAATATAATTTTTTTCTATAAACCAGTGGTTTTGAACCTCCAGCCCTTTTTCACCAGCCCACTTCTAACCTCCAAACTCCTCACGTCTGGCCTGTGACTAGATGTCAACGATAATTTAGCTCTTGAGGTTTTTTTAAATTATTTCAAAGCCTGTTATCAAGGAAGCAGATTAATTAAACAACTCTTTTTCACTTTTGATCATGGATCAAAGCCCTGCGACGGCTTGAGCTACATTCAGTGAAGTTGACTTAACTCAAATTAAAAAATAGATGAAAACTTCCCTGAAATTCACTTCGAGTTCCTAGGTGGAGGAAACGCAGTGACTGTGATCCGACTGCAGTGAATTTTTGGTGCCTCATTTCTGCGCGTCAGTATTTGAGAGAGTGGTTGTAACTCACTTGTGTGTGTATCCGTCTGAGGTGGTGGTGAGGTTGATCTGCATGACAGCCTGGAACTCAGTCTCGTTGCAGCAGTACTTGAAAGCCGTGTTGTTGTGATGACAGCAGAACATGTAGGTCTTGTTGTCCGAGAGGCGTGGGCAGTGAAAGCCAAAGTGGTAACGGCCCTTGTGGTCGGAGTAGGGTTCACACACCCGGTAATGAGCAGAGAGAACTGCAGGTTTGGAAGTGAAATAAAAAAAAACCCAGAATGTTCAACAGATTTATGAACCATCAGGTACAGTGATGTGTAAGCAGTCTGTTGGATCCATGTTAGATCTCGATGTCGGCCCATCTGTAATCACCATATTAATCCTGATTTTTAATGAGCGTACAACCTGCAGTCACCGGTGAGTGAACAGGCTGTAAAACCACAGGCCTTTAATGTCACCAGTGATTCGTGAAGTTGTTCAATGACGACAACTTAATAGTCTCTGTTTTATATGTGGTACGAACTGAATAATCAGGACTTTTTAGAAACAAAACTATTCCTCTGTGGATCAGTGCTGTGGTTATAGTGGAACACACCTTACTTTTCAAGGGTACAAGGCATAATCCCTTTGTTTATTATTGTGTTTTTACCCTTTACACACACGTCCATTTTTAAATGGGACATCCAACTGTATATAGAGCTGCTACTGTGGACAATTAACTGTAGTGAATTCCCAAATAACCAGCGGCTGACGCCGGAAACTTGATGCCAACTGCAATTTCAATGACGTCTTGAATTTAATTAACGCGCCTTGAAATTTAGGGTTCAGTTAACAGCATCTGTGTCTGAAAGTGTTCCAGTTTCATTCATTTACTTCCAGGCACAATCATTTTTTTATTAAATAAAATAAAAAGCAAACAAACAAAAATGTATCCTCAGCTTACTTGTTTGTTTTGCAATATATTTTTATTTTCACATTAGATACAGTTATGGTTTGTGTTATCTGAAAGAGTCTTTTTATGTGTTAAAGGGTGTAATCACAGCTAATTGCAGCGTGGCATCATTTAAAGGTTCAGAGCTTTGCAGGAATTTTTGTTTAGCAGTAACTGGTTGTCGGTCCCTTAATGTTTTTCCTGTTCAGCCAACTCCTAAAAGATGTTTGTTTTCAATTTGCCCCTGAAATAAATTCAAGAAAAAAACCATGTGTGCAGTTAATGAAGTATTAAGTACTGTAGTAATACTACACATTTTATTAGTACACATCTCCAGTGATAGGATAGTCATGTTGTGGTATTTTACTATTTAAAGCAAGCTTGTTTTAAGTGCAACACAGCCCTGTGTACCACATTATTTATCTGTCGCTGACAAAAAAATGTGAACAAAAAGTAAATTATAGCCAGATAGTTAAAGATAAGGTTAAAGGTGAAAATTAAAAAGTAGCTCAGAAACAAAGTGGCTGTAAAAGTGATCCAGAAACATACGAGATTTTTTGGTGAAAAGTTTGTTTTTTTAATACCCCAGTGCAGACTGATCAACTGATAAGAAAGTACGAACCTGCAGCGAACAGCAGGAGGAAAATAACAGTCAGGACATTGAAGGGCTGCCGGCTGGTGATAGTCATCTTCTTGTCCTCATGTGGGAAGGAGGGCTGGAGCAGCAGGGAGGAAGAGAGGGGTTGGGGGAGTTTGTGTAGATTTAGCTGGGTGTGGTCATCCTCTTCTGCCTCATGGCTCCAGTCACATGGCTGCTGCCTCTGGGAGTCAGAACCCCTGATGAGAACCAAACAAAAGACAGAAGACAGGATTGCATTTGTAGAAGTGAGATTAGACTTGGTAGATTACTGAAAAAACTCAAATTAAAGTTTGTGATGAGCAACTCTTCCAAACTTCTTTGAAATGAGAATTTTAAACTCTGTTACCAGCGTTTGTATCACCTTAAAATGTTTTTTTAAATGCTTTTAAAAAACAATAAATTATAAATGCATGTTGTCAGTTTTGCTCTTGCAGCAAAGTGCAGCAACTTTTAATTGAAGACCTGATAAATACTGCACTTTTTCGGGAACCTCGTGTATTCTTCTTGCACTTGAGCGTCACTGTGTGATTACAGCCAGCGATCCTCTCACACTAGGTGAGATTAATGAGGTGGCGGCACATTTTGCTTAGCCACGCTTGTTTCTGTTGTTTGGCAGATTTAGTCTGGATATTCTGTGTTGGTGGCGACTGCTGTATACATAATTCAGGGCAATCGTTGCCAGAGTAATTTAGTAAACGGATAATGTTCCTGGAGCTCCTTGGCATTTTCTCTACCTAATTATCCAAACTAGATGAGAGGAAATTTGAGCATAAACAGATTCTGTTCCTGATGTGTGTGATGTTTATGGTAACGTTCAGGTGTCGGTGTTGGTCTTCTATCACAGAGGCGGTTTTATTACGTGGATGCGGAGCTTGGCTTCCTCTTAAATGTCATGAAATAAATTGTGGAAAATAAAGTTCACTGATTTGTTAACATCCTTTTTGCTGAAATGCGACAGACGATGTGGCGAGTTTATAAGATTCCGCTCATGATCACAGGTCGTCTGATTCGATTTTCATACATTTTGTTTTCAGCCCTGCTTTGATCGAATAAAGAATCACTTTTTGTTGACAGTCATTTTTAAAACTGCACCACTGAATTTTCTGTGTCAGCCCTGTGCCAAGTTAGCAAGTGATGTCTTGAGAGCAAATGTAGTTGGCTGTGTGTGCTCATCGCTCGAGGGATAAACTGTATCCCATTTCCATTTAAAAAATATACTGTAAATAAAACATCTAGCTTTTTCTTGTTTCAGTTTTGCACATAATCCTTTCCTGTTCCCGTTTTGTTCTCACTTTTATTGTGTGTAGGTAAAAAGTATGTAGAAAAAACTGGAACCAAAATGAGCTTGAACTTGTCCCAGCATCCAACACTGCAGATGACAGAGGTTTGTCTAATTGGTCAAACTGGATCCTTTCAACAGAATCCTTACATACTGACTTCCACTTCAGCGAAAAGTTGCCTTTCAGAAATAAGCCCACAGCTACTGCATGTCTCTGCAAGAACAGTCTGAGCGTAAACAGCATAACAAGTAAAAAAGAACAGTTGAAGCCCTGAATTATTGAAGACCTGACAGCAGAGCGGAGTTTGAATTCAAAAAGCAAAACCCAGTGATGTAAAAGGCCGGCGGTTCAGTTCAGAAGGATCAAATAATGGCTGACATCTGTCTAACTGCTGACCTTCTTAACAGCTGATTTGTCCTTTGTGTTTCTTCCTTGAAAATCCGTATCGTATCAAAGCAAAGTGTGAGTTTTTCTGCTGAAATTAATAAAAATGCGTCATATTTCTGTAGTGCCTTTAACCGTGCAAGAAATGATTTCCTGGGTCTTGGGTTCTATTTGTTCTATTTAACTTTATACACAGTTAAAGCAGCTCAATCAGAGCAAATCAGACGAAACAGTGACAATGACTGTCCTGTTCTATGTGACCAGTCTTTAAAACAGTCAGTCCTCGCCAATGTCTGGATTATATTTAATTTATATTTATATTTAACCGCGCTAACCCGTCATGTACTGTATAGATTAGTCAGACATATATTGAGCTGTGTTTATGACAAACCTAAAGGGATGGCAGTACCCTCGCAAATTACTTTTTACAAGTTTTGCAGCTAAGTTACAGGAAATAGTGACTAAAAAAAAGGAAGCCCAAAGCATAGTATTCAAATCTTTTCCCCTTGTCACTTATGTGCATTACCTGTTCTGTAATCTCTAAAACCCATACCATTGATATATCTTTTCCACCAACAGATTTTGGAAAGAAACAAGTTCATGTGCAAAGAAAATAGAGAATGCCACATGTCTTGGTTCTTGATCGTAGACATGTTTCCTAAGTAACAGCACAGGTTGATGGTACCACCTGACCAAACCAACGATAAACTCTGGTTCCAGATAAACTGGATCTCATGGTCAGAACACGTATATGGAGCACAGCAGGCTGTTTCTGCTGGAGTCTTTTTAAAAAAACATTTTAGATCAGACAATCTGTTCCCTCTTTAGAACGCCAGGAAGCTGAGTTCCCCGGAGACTTGTTAGAGTGGCATTTTATGTTTGTCGGTTTTCTTTTTCTTCCTCTGCTCTTTTTACTTCTGTTGAGGGTTTCAGTGTATCATCACATGACAATGTGAGCGGTGTGATGAGGGAATCCCATTTTCCCATTTCAATAGAGAAGCTGCAGTGCTCTACCAAGGGTTATATACATTATTTTCACATGAAGGAACATCGTCGGTTTCTGTGCTGCGAACGCTACAAAAGGCCGAGGTTTACGTAGTCACAGTGTTGGAGCTGTTTGCAAAGACGAAGTGTGAGGGTTTATGTAATGGGCCTGATGCCAGTGAAGCAGAACATGTATTGTAAACACACAGTCATGCATTCAGATGGACGCACAGAGCACAGTACAGTGTTTAGTTCCTTGGGAATGAAAACGGAACGTGGTGCCTGACTGTGTACGACAGAGGGAGGGTCTAGTTATGTGACTGATATTAACCTTAAAACATACATAAATCCAACAATAGCCCAGTGCTACCATACTGTAATAATGTCAGATCTATGAAAGAGCTTCTACACTTCCCTCGGAGACAGAAGTAAACTGAGCTGCTTTATTCGCCTGCAAGTTTCCTCACTGTTGTTAGACATGAGAGCAGAGAAATACTGAGTGACCAATTACTGCAGTACCATGAAACAGACTTTGTACCACAACGCAGCAGGAGACCCAAATCTGTCATCGCTTTGATGAAGGAAAGAGCAGTGAGAGATTTTGGGTTATTTGGAGATTAAGAACAGTGATAGGCTTATGAATATTCTTGTCACAGCCTTATTTTTGCTCAGGCATTAACTTCAAAGACTACATGTTTTTTTCTCTATAGTCCTTATTTATTTTTCCCCTTCTATATCTTTTTATCTTAGAAGCTTTCAGGCCTTTAAAGAAGAAACCCACACTCAGCAGCTAGCTTTTAATAAAGGTCCTCCAGTAGTACACAATAAAAAAACAAAACTTCATACTTTCACTTTTAACAATAAACTGTTAGGTTAAAAACTGCTTTAAAAACAGCTCAATTATGCCATTTACATTCATCCAATTAGATTGTAGGAAATATATTTGTTAAATAAAGATACTCAGGGCTATCAAATGATTCACACAGCTCAGTGAGGCTGAAAGGCCTGGTCTGAAGCTGAAGCCTCCATTAACTCTGGGCATGAGATGGTAATTTAAGCTTAAGGTACTTTGAAACGAAATGTCCCACAGTGGGTGTAAATAACAGCATGTGTATCAACTGTCTATTAGTGATTTGTAAACCACTATGTCGCAGCACATTAGTGTGACGTTAGCTGTGGTGTGGAAAATTATCCCGTCGCACTTAATTGGCTTGAAAAGTATAATTCATTTACTGTAAATAAAGTGTCTTTGTTTGCCAATGTGACAGTGACAGGCAGAACAATTAAGTCATCTGTTGCACACTGCTATAAAACTAAAACAAGAAAGACTATTGAAGTTGCATCTTTCTTCAATTTCTGCCAGTAAAGTTTCAACTAAACAAGTTTCACGCAGAGTGAGTAAATGTTTTTTGCGACATGTTTATTTGATGATCAGCTGTTTGATTCTGTTTGTTTATTTGATGATCAGCTGTTTGATTTTTGTAACCTAAACCCCCCAAAACAACCAACTATATCTGTCAGAGGGCCAAAATTCTTAGAGTAACATCTAGAGGACCGAACGCTCAAAACAAATGAAATGATAAACATTTTTTTGTCTAACCCTATAATTTGAACTAAATCCAGTTGTGGGCCGGATTGGGCGGTTTGGCAAGCCAGATTCAGCTTGCGAGCCACCAGTTGATAGTCACTGCAATCCACATTCTGTCAAGGGCTTTAAAGTGATCATCAGAGGTTTGGTCCTCAGGGTTCCCTTTCCTTTATACTCCAGACTCTTGTTGTTGATTCTCTTCTTGTGGACTGTTGACTGTTAGCAACAAACACACTCCATTTTGCTTAGCTCTCTCATCTTTAATCCATGGGAATGTGTCTTATCAATCAGATAAATCAAGGAGCTTCCAGAGTGAAGTTCAGTTTAGAGATGAGTCTCCCATTTCCCACGAGGCATAGCTGCACACTAACTAAACGACTGGATCTAATGTGTGATCTGTTGATGGGCTCGCATCCAAATCCTGAAAACAGTGTTCTGCTGAAATGAGCTTCCTGTGACTGGCACCGTAATAAATTGTGTTCCATTCTCCTTTGACGACATTACAGCTTCACTCAAAGGCCCCACTGTGCTCCATTAGGATTTGAGCCCATGTTGGGAGACTCACAGTTGTAATATGATGATCATCACTGGCACAGAGGTCTGAAGTGTGTGTGGCACCACTGTCTCTGTGTACAGAGTGGCAACCTGAGGCAATATAAGATGACTAATGGCTGGCTGTGAGGTACATTGTGTTTCAGAGGTAATACTGCGGGTGTCACGTGACCAGAGCCTAGCTCTCAGTCTGACTCAGCCTCAGCAATAAAGGTAGAAAATATGATCACTTCAATTTCCTTCCTGTCCAGCACCAACACATGAATCCTATCACACATCAGTTGGTGTGATAAGCCTAAAGGGTTTTTATTTTTATTTTTTGTTTTTATTTTTTTTTATTTTTTAATTTTCCCAACATTGAAAAACCTAAACCATCTCAACACAATGACTGACAACATTCAAAAACCTA